TCCTGCAAATATAAGAAAATCACATATTTTTTTTTTCAAAGTTGTCAGATTTTGATGAGTCAAATACCTTTAAAATGTTCTATTAATTTAATTTATAAAAGGAAACGTTATTTTTGAACCAAAACCCACGCTTTCAGTCATTAAGATTTTTTCCAAAATAGTACAAAAGGCTTGAAAAGGGGCGGAGCCAGAAAGATATGTTAGTGTGGGTTATAATTTAATTTTTTTTCTATGAACTACAGTATCCTCTTCAACTTCAACATAATGTGTACTTGTGGCAGGTTCATCTACCTTTTTGAAGAAGGAGAATAATGTTTTTCTTTTCTTGGCACCAGATTGACGATGTTTCATTTTTAACTATAGTGAAGTTGGTCCACTGAAATAATTGATGGATGAAGTCATATTCTATTAGATTAAAAAAATATAAAAAAACGTAAAATAATATTCACAAAACTATTATTCTAAACGTGGAATTGTCTTTTTGCACTTTCACATAATTTTCCTTGTACATCATATAAATATTAAAAATTAAACTCAATACCATGAAATTAAATTCACGCAATTAACAATTTTAATTTAGCAGTCACAACATTAAGATTAAATTGTAGCTTTAAATTTTAAGCCTTCGGCAAAAATAATTGAACTTTTAACTTTACCTGTAGGCGTAGGTAAGGGTTTTTAATTAGGTGGGTTTGGGAATTGGGATGGAACGGGTTCAATTCAAAGGAGATAAATTGGTACGTGGACTAATTACAAATATTAGATTTAAACTTGATCCATTTAAGCTGGGCTAAAGTGGGTATATATTGAAGAGGAAATTACGCCCACACTTGAAAATAGATTTCCAATTTCACAAATCCAATAACAAATTCAACATTTCAAAAATCAGGTTTTAATTAATAATTTAAAAACATTTTTTTTAATTTTTATATCTATATACAATTAAAAAAAATTGACCCCAACCAAACCCTAATCATTCCAACCAATTCCTCCCCCACCCACACACTCTCTCTCACCAGCCCCCGTCAACCCTTCTTCTCTACTCCCTCTCTCGCCGCCGTAGCCACCGCCTGTCGATGTGGGGACTCCTTGCACTCAACTCCCTTTCTCGTTTCACCCTCTCTCATCTTCTTCCACTCCTCAGTCGCCTCTCTGTCTTCTCCCCTCTCTGTCTCTTCTCTCTATCTCCACCCGGCCGCCGCTGCTTACTCCGGCGTCTGTAATTTCATGCGGTTGGCGTTAGGAGGTGAGGATTGTCGACGAGCCAGCCTTCCTTGCGGTTGGGGTGTGGAGGTGCAAACTGTCAATGGGTCTCAAAATTTTTTTTTTTTGTGGTGCGATGCAGTGGCGATGGAGTGTTGGGTGCGGTTGCGATCTAATCCGGTGGTTGGGTGAGTGCCAATGGTGTGGATCCAGTAGTCTTTGTCGTTGCAGATCCAGTGTTGGATGCTGGTTGTCGTCTTTTCTGGCGTTGCATATCCAGTGTTGGCTGTTGGTTGTCGTGTTGGCTGTGGTTCCGGTGTTTTGGCAGTGGTTGGGTGTGTGTTTGTGCGGCGGTGGTGATTGTGTGTTTTGGGTGTGTTTCTTATTGCGTGCGGTGGTGCGTTTCTGTGCGATGGTTGTGCTGTTTTTGGTGTAACCGTTGCGGTGTTGGATGGATGTGCGGCTTGTGGCCGGTGTGGTCGTGCTACACGCGATGGTGGTGAAGATGTGTCGACGATGGTGGCACCGCGGGTGGAGGCAGTGGCGAAATTGTGGTCACAGATGATTTGGTGATGGTCACAAATGATTTGATTGTTTGTGACCAATAATTTGCTAGGTTTGTGACCAATAAACAATTTGTGACCAATGAATTCGATAAAATGTGACGAGTACAAGTTGTGTGACCTAAAAATTACTAATTTGTGATCTAAAAATTATTAATTTGTGACCAATAAATTGATGTTTGTAACCATAAATAAGTAACGTAATTTTTAAATTTTGTGATTGTGACCGATGAACCAATTGTGACTTTTAAATTTTTAAGTTGTGACCGATAAACAAATTGTGACCTATGAAAATTTTGAATTGTGATCTAAAAAGTGGCAGAACGGTCATCGGAATGCTTGTCGGAATCGGAGCAGTCGTCGGAATAGTTGTCGGTACGATCGCCGGAACAATCGCCGGAGAAGAGTGGTGATCGGAAAGTCAGTTGGGGTGGTGGAGGTGGGGTGGGGTAATTATATTAAATTAAAATTAAATATTTAATAATAAATTGGTTTAGTAATTCATTAATTATTAATTAAAAATTAAAAAAACCTGATTTGTGAGTTTTCAAACTTGTTTTTGTATTTTTGAAAAGGTGTAAAGTAAATGCCTTATAATTGTATTGTTCTCTATATTGAATATGATAGCTAGTGGGCTAATTTTAAATTTGGGCCAAGTTATAATTCTTTTTTGGGAAAAATTCACTTTCCCTACTTTATCTTTACCATATTTCAAAAATAACAAAACAACTTTTACATTTCAAAAATCAGATTTTTTGATCTATATATACACATATTTATAAATATTTATTTATTTATTTAAATATATAAAAAGATATAAATA